TTTTACTAATAATCTATACATCACATCTTGCTTTTATTCATCACATCAAGAGTATTTTTGAAAAGTCAACACCAAAATATCCCTCCCTTAATTTTCCAAAAAGCCAATAAGGGAACGACTTTAAGGGACGGAGGGGGTATATTTTAGTGTTAGACTTTTAAAAAAACGTCTTTAGATGTGATGAATAAAAGTAGGTAGTGATGTGTAGATTAATAGTCAAAAAATGTACTCCCTCCGTCCCGGAAAACATGAGAGTTTTGATTTTGAAGAGGGATTTAAGGGGAGTGTATTTTGGTATTGAATTTCCAAAAATGTCCTTTGATGTGACGGATAAAAGTATGATTTGATGGATAGATTATTAGTAGAAAGGTATGATGTGATAGGTAGGGTATGAAAAAGTAAGGGGTAAAAGTGACTTTTTAATAGAAATGAGAAGTGTTTTTTGGGACAGATGAAAAAAGAAAGGAGAAAGGTTTTCAGGGACAGAGGAAGTAATTTGATAGCTAGGTTAAGAATTCGTAAGGGTAAAAATGACTTTTTGAAAAAAATGAGAAAAATATTTTTTTGGAAGAATGGAAGATATAGGATAAAAAATTTGTGTGACAAAGGAAGTAAATAAAAGGGTGTGTGTGCACTGTGCAGTGCTTGCCTGCAGAAGGGGGAGATAACGTAGTGCGATGTAACGGCGTAAACTGGTCATGCTTGGAAGCAATACGTATTGGCGAACCCTAACAAGGTCTCCACTCTTTGAAATCCACGGCGTTTCAGTGAAGTAACGGAACAACATGTTCGTGACATCTAAGAGCCTCAAAGGTTTGCCATTGTTGTTGCTGCAAGAAGAAGAAGAGCCGACGTGGTATATTGGCGAACATGACGACGACCAGTATTCGCTATGCTCATGTTCTTGTTGATGATGATGTTGATGCACAATAATTGATGCCAGCATCGAGTTCACCACCATATCAACTGGAATCTGCATGCATGCATTTCATGTTATTTTTCATTTTTGATTTTTTTGGTTAATATTTTAAAATTTTGTCCATAATTTATGAGATGAATGCATGGAATTGCAATGCAAATTTAAAAAATGTGAAATTTACACTAAATAGGACTAAAACATAAGTCATTACCCAATGTATGACTTAAACTTTTTTATTTCCTAAATAAGACTTGATAATGTCTAGTTGGAGGAATAATGTCTAGTAATGATGGACATTTACTTGAATAATGACTAATAGATAATGACCAAATGTCTTATATTGGGAAATAAAAACATATGATCCTATATTGGAAAAGTCATTATGTTTTAGTCATATTTAGATAAATTTCTCAATTTAAATAGCTAGCTAGAGATATGAATGGTCAAATGATATTTGGGATGTAGGGGTATTTTATTATTTGATGATGAAGTTGGAATTTTAAGCGGGTAAGACACCAAAAATATTGAGAATGCCAAAAAAAATGAGAGAACAAATACAAGAAGAATACATACACACACACACACATATATATATATGAGAGAAATTACCCCGGAGTATATATCCACAATTTCAGGAGAATATAGAAAAATTCTTCCTCTATTTACAAGGCTAAATACCTGACACTCAAAAACAGACTTTTCCCCACCTTATGTCTAGATGTCTTTTTTCGAGTAACGAAAAAATTAGTTAGTCCCTACACTCATCAACTTTCACCAAGACTACCCTTTTGGGTTTTCCTGATGTGTAGAACTCTCTCCCATGTTTCTCTCTGTAATCTTGGTGTGTTAAAATCTACACACACACATTTCTTGCGTATGACTCCCTCCTTTTAAAGGCTCTAAAGCCAATCACTTTCAATGCATTTGCATCTACATACTCCATGCAAAATGTACCGTACCAAAGTCATATGTACCGGCATTGTACCCTCTAAAGAGACATGCACAAACAAGAAGGAAACTTTCCCATGGCATCCAAATGCATGCATGTTCTCCTATAACTTTTTTTCTTTCTTTTTAATAATTAATCAAATATCCCAACAGATGATTATCACTAATAGTAATACGCAAATAAAATGATGAACTAAAAGCCTTATATATGAATTTTGTTACTCCCTCCGTTTCTTAAAACGGTTCTTGTTTTGACTTTAGGGCAAAATAAGGAAAGTGTAATTTTAGTTGACTTTCCAATTTTGCCCCTGATGTGATGGGTAAAAGTAAGATGTGATAGTTTAGTTATTAGTGAAAAAGTATGATGTGATAGGTAGGGTATGAAAAAATAGGGGTAAAAGTGGTTTTTTTATAGAAAAATGAAGTATTTTAAGAAAAACAAAAAATGAAAGAAGAAAGATTTTAAGAAAAGGAGGGAGTATTATTTGTTACTCCTTCCGTCTCAGAATTAAAGTCTCCATTTCAATCAAATTGCGACCCTTTTTGACTGGCCACAACTTGTGTAAAGAGTATATGTAATTATAACGTTAGAATTATTTGCACTAAATAACACTAAAACTTAAATCATTTTCTTAAATAGCACTTAAATTGTTTTATTCCCTAAATAGCATTTAATAATGTTCATTATGTCCAGTGATGTCAAATATTTGCTTGAATAATGACTAATGCATAATGACTAAAAGTGCTACATTGGGAAGAAAAACACATGTAGTGCTATTTAGGGAAAAGTCATTATGTTTTAGTGCTATTTAAGTAAATTTCTCGTAACGTTGATTTAATATAACTGAACTATTTTAAGATTTATTTTTTGCATATCACATTTTCCTAGCGTTTATTTATTAGAAGTGATGCTTTAAAATAAACTTTAATTCTAGGACAGAAGTACTTGTAGTGATGATTAATTACCGTGTCGAGTATTGTGTTTGGATCGCCGATCATGAAACTTGATTTTCCCTTACCATACATCAGCACAAAGACATCCATGGTTCTGCAAAAATTATAATTTTATTTCATGAATTAATATTGCTAAGACTATATTTAATTATGTGCGTCTAAAAAAAATTCTCATTTATATTAAAAAGTCACTTTTACTCTTAATATTTCAAACATTAATATATCCATCAAATCAGAATTTTACCTATCACATCCAAAAACATTTTTAGAAATTCAACACCAAAATTCACTCCCTTTAAATTTCTTAAAAATCAAATTCTCCCATATTTTTGGAGACGGGGAGAGTATTAATTTACGGAGTACTAATTAAGTACGTACTACTGAGATCCGTGTACATAATTAAATACGTAGTAATTACCTAGCACCTTCAATCCAACCAGGAAAAGGTTGTTTGTAAGTACTTGTGATTATAGTTGGACGTAATATAATGACGCATACGTTCTCTTTCAACCCATATAACAACATTTCTCCCATAGCTTTTGTGAATGAGTAAGTGTTTGGCCATCCATGGAGCTTTGCCCTACACATTTATAATACGAGTACATTAATATATACGTTCGTGTCTCAATATTATACTCCCTCCGTCTCATAAAGGGTTACCCATTTTGACTAAAGTTGAAATTAAAGGAGAGATAATTTTGTGTTGACTTTCCAAAAATATCCTTGATGTGATGGGTAAAAAAGTAGGATGTGATGTGTAGATTATTAGGAAAAAGGTATGATGTGATAGGTAGGGTTTGAAAAAGTAAGGGGTAAAAGTGGTTTTTTAATAGAAATGGGTAAGGGATTAGAGCAGTGGAAATACTGCTAACGCCAAGGGGCGTTAGGCGAGTTTTGACGCCTGGGGGGCGTGAAACACCGCCCCCCTTCCCCGTTAAAAGGGCGTTAAAATACTTGCGTTAAAGGTTTGACGCGGTTTGAAGGCATTATCACGCCTTCTTCCTTCCTTTTTCTTCCTCTTTTTTCTTCTTTTCTTCTCTATAAATTAAATTTAATTTTTTAAAAAAATTCAACACAAATACAAAATTCTCTCAATCTATCATTTTTTTTAAAAAATTATTATTCAAGTATTTTATTTATTTTTTCATGAATGTAATTTTTTTATTTAATGAATGTAATGTTTTTATTTAATTAATGTAGTTTTTTTATAATGCATGCAATTTTTTAATTTAATGAATGTAATTTTTTTTATTTAAAATCATGGAAACTGACCTTTCTACGTTGTCGGGTTTCAAACGGATGATATACGAGCAAAGACAAAGAGAGATCAAGGCGAAATATAATTTACCTTAGTTTTTTTAATTAATATATCTTTTTTAATATTGTCATTTTTTATTTTAATGAATGTATTTTTTTGTATTCGTGTTTCAATATTATTAAATAATAAATTAATTTAAATTTATTAATTTAAATTTAAAAGATGTATATTTAAAAATGTAAAAAATAAAGGTTTGAAGCCCCAGTTTGAAGCCCCGGGGCTTCAAACTCATTTCCAGTGAATTTTTGGTGTAAGTTAAAGCTGACGTGGCAGAGAGAGAAATTTTGAAGCCCCGGTTTGAAGCCCCGGGGCTTCAAAGGTATTACTAGTGCTCTTATGGGACGCAATTTTTTTGAAACGTGTAAATCTTTTTGGGACGAAGAGAGTATCATTTTCTTACTACATTTTTGTGCATACACACACACACACACACAAAAGATTATAAGTTTGTATAGTTTGTGATCGAGCTGAGATATTTTTGATTTTAACATTATTCCATATACTCCTTTCGTCCTTGAGTATTTGTCTACTTTTGAATTTTTTGGTCAAAATTGGTAAATTTTGACCTCAAATTAGATATAAATGATACTCCCTCGTCCCATAAAGATTGGGACGGTTTGACTAAAATGGTAAAATAAGTAAGGATAATTTTGTGTTGACTTTCCAAAAATACCTTTGATGTGATGGGTAAAAGTAGGATGTAATATATAGATTATTAGAAAAAAAGGTATGATGTGATATGTAGGGTATGAAAAAGCAAGGGGTAAAAGAAATTTTTTAATATAAATGAGAATGACTTTAAGGGACGCAATTTTTTTGAAACGGGATTGACTTTATGGGACGGAGGGAGTATTAGATATTGATACAAGAATAGTTTTATTAGATTTATTATATGAAATATTTTCAAAATATTATTTTATTTAATAATATTTTACTTGATTATAAATCAAAGATTGAAAACGATATGGATTGACCAAAAATATTCAAAATTGGACAAACATTTAGCGACAGAGGTATTATTTATTTTATGGATCTATCGGTGTGTGTAGCAAAAAAAGAAGCTGAACCTTTGAATGCCCAAGTCTCTCATGGCAGATTTAACATCTTTTTCGTTAGCATTTTGGGTTTGAAGCTCCTCTAATTTCTCTTGTATCACTTTCTTCTCCACATCAATGTCTAATTTCGAGGTCCCATTCAGCGTTTCACCCAAAATGAGTGGCTTTTCTAGCATTATTCCATTCCCCTCGCCACAAACATATGCTGCAAGTTAAATAATAATATTAGAATTTAACAATGTATTATAATCAATAATAATAATAATAATAACAATAATAATTGAAAACAATTAATAAGTACATACCGGTGGATACATGGACAAGGGCGATGTTCACTTTAAAACAATTCTTGGCAAAGTTGAGGACGTTCATCGCTCCCAACGTGTTAATGTTCATGGCAACATCATACCTACGCACGTCATTTTTCATATAAAATGATTTGTAAATAACTCCAGTCAAACACTTTAACGCGTAACGAGAAGATAGTTTTTGGACATAAGAAGTACTAGCTCCCTTCGTCCCTGAAAACCTTTCTCCTTTCTTTTTTCATCCGTCCCAAAAAACACTTTTCATTTCTATTAAAAAGTCACTTTTACCCCTTATTTTTTCATACCCTACCTATCACATCATACCTTTTTACTAATAATATATCCATCAAATCATACTTTTACCCATCACATCAAAAGACATTTTTGGAAATTCAATACCAAAATACATTCCTCTTAAATCTCTCTTCAAAATCAAAACTCCCATGTTTTCTGGGACGGAGGGAGTAATATTTACTCTGTATTTTTGTACACTTATGCTCAGTCCATCGAGAAAATAGCTGCACATTTCATTTTTTACAGTCTCCAATATAATACTCCTATATTCACTATTAATATTTGTATTCATTTTCCTTCCGTCTCACAAAACATTTCTTGTTTTGAATTCTAAAAAGTTTAGAAAGAGTGTTTTTTTGCTTTTAACTTTTCAAAAATGCTCTTGGATGTGATATGTAAAATAGATGTGATGGATAAATTAGTAGTGAAAGTGTGATGCAATAGATAGCTTAAGAATTAGTATGGGTAAAACTGACTTTTTAATAAAAATGAAAATTTTTTTTAATCCCACTCTAAAGCCAATAAGAAAATGTAGAATGAATTACCTTTCGTTAAAAGTGGTTGTTGCAGCAGAGTTGACGATGATGTCAACCTCTCTCAACATTTCATCTTTCACCTCTTTGTTTTCAATCCCCAAATCTTCAAAGGAGACGTCGCCGGCCACCGGAAACACCTTCTCTTCCAATATGGCGGCGAACAAGTCGCCGCCATATTTCTCCTTCACCACACTAAACAATTCGCTCTCCACCACCTGATGAACATTTTACCAACGGACTCTTAATCTTTACTTAGTATAGGATATACACCCTTCGTCTTAGGATTTTTGTTCAATTCTAGTTTGATGTTTTTCGTCAAACTGCGGGGTATAATATTAATCAGAACTCTATAAGAACTTTCTATATTGATTTTGTGCAAAAATAAGTAAGAGTTATTTAGAGTTAACTTTTATCCTTGATGTGATGGATAAAAATAAATAAAAAGTAGGCAAAAATGGTTTTATAATAGAAAGTAAAAGTGTTTTGGGAGGAGAGAAAAAGTGTTTTGGGAAAAGAGAAGAAAATGGAAGAGGAAGCGTTTTAAGAAAAAGAAAAAGTATGTCTTAAATTGAATCAATTATATTACAGAGTAAATTTTACTCCCTCCGTCCCTTAAAGTCGTTCCCTTATTGACTTTTTAGAAAATTAAGGGAGAGATATTTTGGTGTTGACTTTCCAAAAATACCTTTGATGTGATGGGTAAAAGTAAGATGTGATAGATAGATTATTAATAAAAAAGTATGATGTGATAGATAGGATTTAAAAAAGTAAGGGGCAGAAGTAATTTTTTAATAGATAAGCAAAGGAGTTAGTGGGACCAGAAAAAAAGAAATGAGGAGGAGTTTAATGGACGGAGGGAGTATATTATAACTAAATTTATTTTTTCATAATTTATAAATAAAGAGTATCATAATTTGACTAAAAAAGTCATAATAAGATAATCATTATAGGACGAGTTTAATCACTTTAATTAATTTCAAGGAGAACGTTATCATAGCTATCGTTGGAGCTAATAGATTTGATTAATAAAAAATAATGTCAAATTGAACTTTCAAATTGTGCAACCCAAAACTAAAGTCACAACACTTTCCTTTTTTAACATAACCTATCTCATCTTTTGAGTCACTTTTACACAATCTCTCCCCTTCAAATCTATTCATCCCCAACAAACCCTTTTCAATCAATTAACATACTCGATCTACCTTACCTTTTGCAAAATCTTTTACATTTTTTATTTCTCCTACCTAGGAAATGCTTGGTTCACAAATACAATATTCACAAATTTATTATTTGTGAACTACAATAAAAAAATAAGTAGTCTAAAATAATTTTAAAATCAAAATTTAAACTATAAATAGTAATTTTGTGAATTTTGTGACTATTCTGTTTGTGTTACATCAAATTTGTCTTAATTTTCGTGTTTCCCATTTTTGACATTAGTTATGGGACTAAGAGAGTAATAAATCTGTGCCGTATTAGGGTTTTATTACCTGATGGATAAATCTTTGTTTGGCAGATGCGGAATCTTTGGCTCTGATAAGGAGGAAAATCTTTTTTACATCTGGTTGTGTTCTAAGGATTTTCTCTACCAGCACTGCATCATTATTGGAAAAATAAAATATGCAAAAATCCAATCTTCCACAATGGATTCTAAATTATACTGCTCTCTAAGCTAGTAAAGAATTACTCCCTATATTATAAATTTTATGGTTATTAATATTCAAAATTCTTAAAATTTGATTTAAAATTAATCAAAATAGATAAATTAGGGTTTGACTTCATTAGACAAGCTAGCATGTACTCTCTAGGTTTGAAAAAGGGAAGTTTACTTAAATAGGACTAAAACATACTCCCTCCGTCCGGAAATATTCTTCTCATTTGACTTTTCTTGGTCAAAGTTTATAAACTTTGACTATGATATATGGAAAAAATACATTGTATTACGATATAACTCTAATATGAATATATTCCTTTTGATATATAGTTTTCAAATATCAAATTTTTACAAAATATATCTATGTATAAATAAAAATATTAGTGGTCAAAGTGCAATCTTGGAGACCATAAAAAGTCAAATGGGAAGAAAATTTCCAGACGGAGGGAGTAATGATTTTCTCTAAATATCATCGTATAATTTGTGATTGGCTTTTCAGTTTTACCCTAGATTTGATGTGATAGATTATGTATAGTTTAGTAGAAATAAAAAAACTTTTTAATAGAAATAAAAATATTTTATTGCAAAAATAAAAATGATATAGAAAGTGTTTTAAAAAAGAGAGGGAGTATAAAAGTCAACATAAACACATGCATAATGAAGATGAAGCATTAGTATTACAACTACTGAACTATGGTCTCCGTCCGAAAATATTCTTCCCATTTTCCTTTTTGGTCTGTTCGGAAATATTATTTCCATTTCCTTTTTTAGTATACTTTTTAAGGCTAAATATCAATAATACCCTTCTATTTTATCATAAATATACTTTTTTAGTACTTTTTTAATAATAAAAAGAGATTTAAAAGTTTATGGTATGTGCATTTTTTGAAAATTTTGCATTTTTTTACTATTCCTTAATAAGCGTGCCAAGTCAACACGGGAAGAACATTTCCAGACAGAGGGAGTATAAAAAGGAAGACAGTAAATGCTATGCTAGTTCGGATATTAAATAGAACCATGCTACACTTACATCAAAATTTGTACCCCTAACTTACACCAAAAATATATACCAAAATTTTGATGGTTCACACTGACACAAAGTGTTTGTGCATTAACAAAAATTTACACGGACACAAAGTGGTGGTGCGTTAACAAAAATTAGCATTACACCAACTCAAAATGTTGGTGCACACATGCGGTGTACAAACGGGGTACAAACCCTTGGGCTACAAAGAGCTTTATCCAAAATATTATGCGAGAATAACAACTCTGTAATCTATTTGGGGACGGAGAGAATATAAATATTACCTAACTAAATTTATTTTAAGATGCCATTCCAACTTTTGATTTATCAACTTTTTTGTAACATTGATTTATTTGAAACTACATAATCCGTGGTAGAAGTGTGTCACAATTTGAGTAAAATAAAGAAAAAATGGGACAATAATTTTTTGACGGAAGTAGTATGATAAATAAATAATAAATGAATTGATAAATAAACACATAAATAAATAAATAAATAAATCAATCAATAGGGAGTAATTATTAAATAAACAATAACTATATTGCACATAATCGATAAAATTGAAGAACCTTTGGCAAGGAAACCAGTGGCGCCGGTGACCAAGATGGTTTTGTCTACGAAGAACTCCATTCGATTTTATTAAGTTATATTTCTTCAAGGCTATTAAATTATATATACTTGATTAAGTTAATAGCTTTGTGTTATTGTGTATATTTGAGACTCAAGGCTTCATTTTGTGGGCTATTTATAACACTAGTGCGTACGTGTCACTACCAAAAAAGAGAAAGTAATCCTTTCGTCTTATAGATGTCTTTAGGGTCTCTTTGGGAATAACGTTAGAAATTAGCCTTAGCATTTTGAAAAAACTATCTACGGCCAGCGTTTAGTGTTAGCGTATTCAAAGTAATCTGCCCCGTTAAAATTTTATCCAAAATGTTAACGCTAATTTCTAACCCTATTCCCAAACATGCCCTTATACTCCCTAAAATATAACTACAATTTGCTTTTATGGTTAAATTGTAGTAGCTTTTGATCGCGAATTAAGTAAAAAGTATATTTAGTTACTCTCTTCGTGCGGAAATGATCTTCCCATTACGCGTTACGAAATTTGATTGATTTTATTTTCATTTTAATTTATTTGATTGTAAGTATAAAATTTAAAAATAAAACTTGTATAGTAAAAAACTACATAAAAATCGTTCAAAATAAGAGGTGACAAGGCTATACAAAGTGAATAAAAATACGGAGTAGTAAACAAAATAAGCAAACAAAGTGAATAAAATTTGACTTTGTAAATAATACTCCCTCCGTCCCATAAAACATGGGATGCTTTGTTTTTTGAAGAGATTTAAGGGAGTATATTTTGGTATTGAATTTCCAAAAATGTCCTTTGATGTGATGGGTAAAAGTAGGATTTGATAGATAGATTATTAGTAAAAAGGTATGATTTGATAGGTAGGGTATGAAAAGGTAAGGGGTAAAAGTGACTTTTTAATAGAAATAAGAAGTGTTTTTTGGGACGGATGAAAAAAGAAAGGAGAAAGGTTTTCAGGGACGGAGGGAGTACATGAAAGATTATTTCTGGACGCAAGGAGTATAATGTAAATTTAGTAAAATGGAGTTTATTTAAAAAATAGTTTTAAAGTATCAAATTTTTATAATATTTAATAATTTTCAACTATATTTAATTCGTGGTCAAAGAGTGCCACAGTTTGACAAAAAAATCAAACTCTGGCTATATTTTAGGAACGGAGGGAGTATGTACGTCCATGTTATTATGTTTAATTGATTTTATGTTTTATTTATTTTCTAAATATTATTAGTTTAAATCATAAAAAATAACATTTATTAATATGTATTTAAAAATTATATTAAATGATCTACTTCCTCCGCTCCATAAATATGTTCTCATTTTTTACTTTTAGAAAGTTTAAAGGAGGAATATTTTGTGTTGACTTTCAAAAATATCCTTCATGTGATGGTAAATTAGAATGTGATGAGTAAATTATTAATAAAAGAGTATGATGTGATAAGTTGAGTAAGACTTAATAGGAGTAAAAGTTATTTTTTAATAGAAATAAAAAAAACTTTGTGGGACACCAAAATAAGAGAGAGAGGAAGAGTTTATGGAGCGGAGTAAGTATAAAATTAGAAATGACATTTTTATACGTTATTTAAGTGATTTTTCTTTCTTTTCTTTTCGATGCAAATCATTTAATTAGAAAATCCATTTATAAAAATAAATCATGTAGAAGTCAAAACAAGAACTGTTTTGATAAATTGGGAAATATATACGTTTATTTAATGATAGAAATTGATTTTTTTAATTTTTTTAAATATAAGTATGTGGCATGCATGCAAAGTTAGTTAATTAGCTCTCACGTAGTGGAGGTGTCGTGGGTCGGTGGCACACCATGCAATTAAGTTCCGTAATTGCTTCTACAAGGAGATACCATTACCTATACCCTCCACTTTTGTTTATTTAAGACGCAATTTAAATATAATTATTTATTTCTTTTAGATAATCTGAAAAGCCCTCTAAACAATTAGGGTCCTGTCCTATAATTTCATTTTACTATCTTCCCTCCTAAAGAAAATTCACATGAAATTCTTTTGTTAGTCCAAAAAAAATCATACACTATTTCGGCCTTTTCAAATAGACAAAATGAACTCCCTTACACTATTCACATGGTCAAACTTTATTCACTTTGTTGACCTATTTTCGTCACCCATTTGATAAAATAATATAGTCATGTCTCCTCTAGTTTTGTAAATTTTTTGATATAGTTTTTTAATATGTAATTTTTATTTTTAAATTTTACACCATTTTTCATATAAAATGATTTGAAAATAACTTCAGTCAAATATCGTAACGCATAACGGAAAGTTTATTTGTGGACGGAGGGAGTATAAAAAAATGCAAACCAAACAACAATTATCATTTCTTACGTTTCAATTCGGCAATCAAATTTAACTTACTTTAGCTGTTTAATTATTTTTTACTACGCATTTCGTAATACTACCTCCGTTTCTCAAAAGAGTTCCTCTTTTGACTTTGGGGGAAAATAAGGAAGTGTTAAATTGTAGTTGAATTTCCAATTTTGCCCTTGATGTGATGGGTAAAAGTAAGATGTGATAGTTTAGTTGTTAGTGAAAAAGTATGATGTGATAGGTAGGGTATGAAAAAGTAGGGGTAAAAGTGGTTTTTAATAGAAAGGGGAAGTGTTTTAAGAAAAACAAAAAAAATGAAAGAGGAAGGGTTTTTAAGAAACGGAGGGAGTATATTATAGTATTGTCACTTTTTGTTTTGTAAAATTTTTTATATAACTTTTTATTCGTCAAATTTTATTTTTAAATTTTACATCCACAATCAAATAAATTAAATTAAATTAAAAATAAAATCGTTCAAACCTCGTAAAAAATCTATGTGGAACGGAGAGAGTAAAAATAAATACTTACAGAGTATTAAAAATTACGGATTACTTGGCTTTAGAAGTTTACGGAGTATTTAATTCTCATTTAATTAATGAAGTAGCAGTTAGTCAAGCAAAATGGATCTCTAAACTGTCTTTGGGGTGTGATGGAATAAATCAAAATGGATCTCTAAACTGTCTGCGCTTCTTTAATTAATGAAGTAGCAGTTAGTCAAGCAATGCAATTTTCGACGTTGAGCCGGGACTCTCTGCGTACACACACCCTCCCCAGACCCTACTCTTGTGGGATTTAACTGGGTTGTTGTTGTTTGTTTGTTTAATTAATTTGAGCTCCATATTTTTATCAATTTTTCCGATATAGGAGTTAAAATACATTTACATTACCAATTATGACGATGTACATTACGTGAAATGCGCATGCATAGTCTCACATTACTATAAATGCGCATGTATAATATCACATTAAGCTCCGTACATCACAAATTATATTATACAACCGGCTGTACCCAAAGTTGGGTGACAATCGAAAAAGTTCGGCGAAGGAGGAGAGGAGCCAATGAAGGGAGGGCGACGATCGAAGAAGTCTGACAAAGAAGAAGCACACTGACTACAAAGGGAGGCACGAAGATCGCGAGGAGCGATGGTGGCGGCGGTGTTACAGATTTGGAAGCGCGTGTGGAAACCCTAGGTCGGACTATGAATATTTCAGCTAAGAAGAAGAATTACAAATTGAAGAGGGTTGAGAATGAGCACCACTTTGTTTCAGAATGAATACTATATTATTTGTAGATGAATATTATAATTACATTTAATAAATATGTTAAAATGAGGAATAGGTAATTTTAGAATGAATATCATGTTATTTCAAAATGAATACTTTATCGGTACGAAAATGAGTACTACTCTTCTTCGAAATAAAGAAGTGCACATCCGCCCTTTAAGTGACAGACATATGTGTAGTTCAAAATTTTGTGTGATATAAGTGGCATACATATAAAATCTTACATTTACGTCACGTTTATTTTTGACATTTTAAAGTGACATGTTAGACACTTAGAGAGGATCGATTAATTGTGTTTGTTACACTGAACCAGTTGAAAAGTTAAATCGATTTTACGTTAATACTCCGAAATTGAATAATTTATACTACTACTTCCTAAAATTGTTTAATTATATACCAATATCCCGGGTTGTCAACTAAGTAGAATAAGTGAGAATTTAAATAATGAGTGTACATTATTAGATATGTGCTGATAATATTTTAGACAAAATAAAAAAAATTAAAGTACATATTTCATAATCAAATTTATATTCGTTGGAAAGATCTTGAAAATATAAATTCTAGATTATATCAACTTTAAAATTCTCTAATTATTTATTTGAAATACTTTTCATAATTTATCTGATTAAAATATAAACACTTTATTTTTAAGTTTTAATACTCCTTCCGTTCCACAAAACCCTTCTCCTTTCATTTTTTTGTTTTCCACAAAATACTTTCACTTTCTATTAAAAAACCACTTTTAACCCTACTTTTCATAACCTACCTATCACATCATACTTTTTCACTAAAAACCAAACTATCAAATCTTACTTTTTCCCATCACATCAGGGGCAAAATTGAAAAGTCAACCAAAATTACACTTTTCTTATTTTTGCCCAAAGTCAAAATGGGAATAGTTTTGTGGAACGGAGAGAGTACATTTTATTTCCAATCGATATAGAGGAGGGTAATTATAACGTAGTCAAGGTATTTTCTTTATTTTTGTAATTAATTACCAACTCATACTTAATACTTATACAATCACCCTTTAAAATGCCATGTATTCAGCGTAGTTGGGAACTTGGAGTATAGGTGTAAAATTGAGTAATTTCTAGGAACAATGGTGTAAATTATTTAGTTTCAGAATATAATCGTAAAATCACAAATTTCATGCACTATTCATGTGAATTTTTTCTTATAATAGAATTTTAAAAAAAAGTCTACTAAACAAAGGTACAAGTGAACAGTGGGTTTCATTAGGACCAACAAAAGAGATCATTCACTACCCGCCCAGGCCTTTCAAACTTATGTGCAAATTTGTATATATACTGCTGAAAAACTAGAGCAATTCTTAAGCTTCAAAGGTTGATGTTGCTTCTTTTTTTTCGGGTCCGAAAAACGAACAGTTTTGGAAGGCGTCGAGGCTGCTGGCTATGAGCTGGTTCAAGCCACCAAGGCTATCACTTAAAATCAGGTCTTCATTATGGCGGTATCTACTGGAAGGTCGTATATCCAAGTCAAACGGTCCTAAAGAGTCGGGCTGCACAAAGGAACGACGACATTAGCATATCAGATGTCCGACGATATTATCATCTTC